GCAACATAAAAACAGTCCTAAAAATAAATAGGTTCCAAGAAAGATGGAGAGTTGGCGAGTATTTCCAGGGAGCATTGTTAGGGGGCTAACCACCCTCAGGCAGGTAGAGCCCATATCGCCCCATGCACACTGGCAGAGCCAGGTCTTTAATCCTTTTTGGAAAGCCAGGAGGGTAGGGGCCCACCGCATCTCTGGGGGAGAATATTCCAAAGGGCGGGGACAACAGCAGAGCAGGCTCTCCTCCTGGGCCCCACCAGCTGACATTCTCTCTCTGGGTGGGATGGGACGATGTGATGGGGATGAGACCCCTTCCAATTCCAGTATTTTATGTGGGAATTTGCTTGCAGAATATAAAAATTCCAGTATTTTATATGGGAATTTGCTTGCAGAAGTGCACATTTTAGGAAAAATAGTATTCCAAAAAACGTAAATGTATGCAAATAGTAGCACAGACGTGCCCAAAAATGTGTACAGATGTCTGTGCTGAAAAAGGCCTGCAAGCTGGGATGGAGTGCATTTGAAAATAATTCAGTTTAAAAAAAGAAAAAAAAAGAAACATCAACAACAGAATTAATAGATCTGGTTCACTATTTCTTGCTTGGTGTCATCGAAGAGTTTTGGCCTCCGTGAGGTTGTGTTGCATTGCTTTCTAGCCTTCAGGTTGTCTTGATCGTCACTGAAATACTTGGTGTGTAGCCAGCATTTGTGTTCTCTCAGGCCCCTTTGGCAATTTCTGTCCTTTCTACTAGTTGCCAACCATTGCAAGTCCCCAGTGCTGCTCCTCTAGATGCTGGGAAGCTACCCGCGTTTGAATTTCTGCTGGCCTGCAGAAAACCCTCTGCCCCCCAAAAGCACACCAAGGGTTCCTGTCCTCCATGCCCTGTTTGTTTCATCCTCAGCATTCTGGACAATGCCTCTTAAACCTGGTGATTGCCTGGCATCAAATGAAGCAGAAGCAAGCTCCGCGGAACCCAATGGGGATCTGTTGAAATCCAGGCAGCCCTCATGCTCCATCCGAGTGACGTCTGAGAATGCGGCCCTGTGCATCGTGAACCCGCTCTTTCTCTCCGTGCACAGTGATATCGAATGGCTTGACCTTGCCCCCAGCCTGTGCCGCTCGAGCAGCAAGAGGGGGTCCCTGCAGCTCTCCAATGGCTTAGCAAAGCAAGAAGGCCCAGTTAGTTTAAAACATCTGGGATCTCTGGAAAAGGAAGAGGAGATGGTGAAAGGTAAGATTTGGGCAGCTGTCTGTGTCATTGGTATAAGCAACTTGCCCCCTGTTCTCCTGCTCCACAACCAACACAGCTGTACTGAGGTTGTTAAGTGGTGGTTCCTCCCAAAGTTGGTATGGAGGGGGCATCCACTGACATAGAACTGGGCATGAAAGATTGGGGCACAAGCCTCCTTAAGTATTTCCCTAGTTCTGGGGGTTCTTTCCTGCTATAGAGTCCCAGGTGCTAATAGGAGTAGATGTGTGATTGCTGCTCATGAGAACCTAGAAGTTAGATACGACAGTAAATATGACCAGTTGGCATTCTGGATGGTAGATAGACTGAGAATGGCTACATTTGCCCACAGGCACCTTTCATGGCCCTTTCTTCCCCGCAGATCCT